CCTGCACTATTTCAGTAGGACTCTTCTGAAGCACCTCCCTGACTGCTGCCCACCTCCAAGCTTCAGCTTCTCTGGCGCTGCCCACAGTGACCACAAATGGGTATCACCCCTCTTCTCTGTGAGCTGGCTGCTTTCAGCCTGAGAATCAAGGCAAAGGCTTCCATCAAATCTTCCATCCCATGGCCAAAACCCCAGGGCCTTTGTGAAGGCCAAGTACCATTCCATTCTGGGGGCATAAGCTTGCACAGTGTGAGTAGTTGTGGATGCCCAGGGAGTTGATGCAGATACTTCCTTGCACATATGAGCATTGCTCACAGACATAACCCATTCCTTCAAAAGCAGCCTCTTGGGGAAAATTCTTGGCTCCCAGAGGACAGGACATCACTTTTAGCAAAACATGGATTTTCTGGGCTTCCCTACTCCACAGCTTGTCTCTAGACCTACCTGTGACTCCAGCAGCCCATCTACAAAGGGGCTAGACGATTCTTCACATACAGCCAAACTCCTGACCAGTTTAAGCTTAGAATTAGACTGGAAAAGGAAAAGAAAGAGGATAATTAAGACACCTTAGCCAAAATGCACACACTTAAGGTCATGCTGCTGCACTACCAAGCCACTCACAGAGTCAGCTAGGTTGGACAGAGCCTTGGGTGACATGGTCTAGTGTGAGGAGTCCCTACTCATGGCAGGGGGTTGGAACTGGATGATCTTAAGCTCCTTTCCAACCCAAACTATTCTATGATATCAACCAGCCACATGAGATCCCAGGGAGGATCAACAATGAGAAAGGCCCGAGGTGCACAGACATGTTCTGCCCTACATATGGCTGTTGTACCCAACTCTGCCTTTTTAACTGGAGGGTGCAACATGCCCTGTCCCTCCAGTGACACCTCTGAATTTCACTTCTGGTGTGTCGGGCTCTGGGGAAGGGAAAGGAGTGGCAGTAAATAGCAGCAAACAGTTCCTTCGTGTGTTAAAAAGGAGCACTCCTGCTCCAGTGCATGGCAGGTGACTGTCCTGAGCCATCACATACTGTGTTGTTGCATCTGCACACAGGAAAGACTTGAGAGTACCAGCCTGGGATCACAACTCAGTGCAGGATGGCCACAAGGAAGAATGGGACACCAGGAGAGGTCATACCTTGGCTCTTTTTCTGGCATGTCCATGGCTTGAAGTTCGCCTCTGTGGAAAAAGTAAAGAGCAGGTAAGGAGCTGAACATGGGGGACTCCCCTGAGGGCTTCCCCTCGTCTGCACTTACCTGAGCCTCCTGGCGCACGCTGACCTCCTCCCCGCCATCCTTCTCCACCTCTTCCTTGCTCGGTGACCTGGATATGTATTTGGTTTTGTTCACAGACTCCTCAACCACCTTTTTCTCAGACTCCTTCATTATTTCCAGAGACTCCTGGGCTGTGTTGCTGTTTGACATCTTCAGAGCCCTACAATGCAGCAACGGGCACCTGCCAAAAGAGATGGCCAAAAGGGGACAAAGGAGTCAGGTGCTGGAAAGAGCTTTTATCTGCAACACAGACTTTTGTCCATACAGGTTGTAAGTTCCTTTTAACTGATCCTGTGTACAAAGACCCCAAACCAAGCACCCTAATGACAGCACGACCAACAGCATTGAGCCCAATAACTTCTTTGGTGTGAAGGAGAGATGGAGGGTGGTCCTAATGCTGGCAAGCATTCTGAGGCAGGGAATTCAGTAGTGAAATAAAGACAAGTAATTACATGAGGTGTACCCAACATATTGCTCTGGTTATTCCCATGAAACAGGTAACCCCTGGTATCCTCTCCTGAGCTGCCTCTGATTAGATACTTCAGCAAAAGCAGGAGTCATACAAGAACAGGCAAATTACAGATAAAGTTGTGTTTCAGTGGTCCCTTTTGCTTAGCAAGAACACAAGCAGAGCCCCTGAAATCACCTCTGGGTGAGAGCAGGACCTAGACAAGGCAGCAACATGTGCCTCAGTCTACTGGCAGCCTTAACCAAGAGCAACGAACATGTCATCAAATGAAGTGCTAATTCCCAATGGATTGTCTAGAATGGACATGTCAGCCCGCTCAGCTAACTCAAAGCAGGCTTCCTTGAGCTTGAGCAAGGACTGCAGAGGGATCCCAATACTGGGAAACACATTTGCAGGGACACTGCCTGTGCCGAGCCCAGCGTTTGTCCTGGTGACAGAGGAGGAGGCTGGATAAAAGGCTCATTGAGGCAAGTTCCCAAAAAGAAAAGGGGAAGCCTAAATTGAAGAGGGGCTCAAACAAAAGGCCCAGGCACTGGCAAATACAGCTGATGTTGAACAACTTGTTTTATTCATTACTTTGGCAGAACAGGGCTGAAAAAGTCAGATCTCGCAGAGATTTATTGACTCTCGGCTCTGCAAGGGAACTGCTATTATTAATTAACTAATTCACCCTCATCCCCCTTTAATTTGTGGAGCTGCTGAACATAAAACACGTATTGGACTCTTATTGTAGCTACTGAAACCAAATCCAGATACAGAAAGCAAGAGAGCGTGCTCAACTCCTCCTAGTTCATGGATTCTTACAGGCATTCGGGACAAACTGAAGGCATCCAGGGCAGATGTGCCGTTGTGAATGGAATCTGCTGCATGCTCTCAGCACGTGGCAGGGCTGCTGCCAGAGGAACCAGAGCACCACACAGCAACGTGCCCCGGGGATGCCAGCACTGCCTGGGATCCAAGCGAGAGGCCGGGACAGGAGGAATCTATGGTCACTGCAGTTCTCCTTCACACCTATCATTGCCTGCTTAAGCCTTAAGGATGGGCTTTCCCCCCACAACAGGACTCGCTGCTGTCAGCTCAGCAGTCACAAACGGGAGAACCAGGAAAGGAAGAAGTGACAGAGCTCAAGGGTTCATAGCAAGGGTGCTGCACGGGGGGAGCTGTGCTTTGCTCGAATGCCTCCGACAGCAACTAAGTCAGAAAAGGGAGCACTTGCTTGATTTACTCACCAACCTCCCTGTAACAAGTTTTTACCCCCAGGCCAAGCACCCCAGGGGAGGGTAACAGGATCTTCTCTCATCATACTGCAATGGAACTTTGGCATCACAAGGGGACTATCATCAGTTTTCCCTCTCTTATCTTCCAGAAAAGACAACTCAGAGCCACTGAATTGACATTTGTAGGCTGCCCCCTCATAACACAGCTTCTGTCCCCACCAGCAGTCCTCCGGAATGCTTCCCTGCACATAAAATTCACAGAATGTATGTGCATTGCGAGTGCTTCTCAGTAGTGATGCTTTCGAGAGGAGGTTTCCTTTCGGTATGAATGAATCAGCCCTGCTCCCCCAGGACAGACGTGGGATGCAGCAAGGGGGTGGCAGACGTGCTGCTGAGAGACAGCGGCTTGCAGAGAACGTGGAAGTTCAGAGGACTCAGTGGGGTGAGTGGGACTGAGCTGTGCCCTGTCAGGGACATGACAGAGATGATGTGTTCAGCTCTGGGGCAACGCCACAAAGATGTGGAGCTGGTGGAGTGAGTCCAGAGGAAGCCACAGAGATGCTCCCAGAGCTGGGCTTGTTCAGCCTGGAGAAGAGAAGGCTCTGGGGTGACCTTAGAGCAGATTCCACTGCCTAAAGGGGCTACAAGAAACCTGGAGAGGGGCTTTGGACAAGGCATGGAGGGACAGGACAAGGGGAGATGGCTTTAACCTGCCAGAGGGGAGATTGAGATGAGCTCTGAGGCAGAAGCTCTTCCCTGGGAGGGTGCTGAGGCGCTGGCACAGGGTGCCCAGAGAAGCTGTGGCTGCCCCATCCCTGGCAGTGTTCAAGGCCAGGTTGGACACAGGGGCTTGGAGCAACCTGCTCTAGTGGAAGGTGTCCCTGCCCGTGGCAGGGGTTGGAGCTGGAGGAGCTTTAAGGTCCTTTCCAACACAAACCACTGGACACAGGACTGGAAGGGGGGGTCTCCCCAGAGCACAGCAGAGGGGGAGAATCCCCTCCCTTTACCTGCTGCTCAGGCTCTTCAGGTGCAGCCCAGCACACGGGGGGGTTCTGGGCTCAAGAGCATACTGAAGCTGGGTCATGGGGAGCTTCTCATCGACCAACATCCCCAAGTCCTTCTCCGTAGGGTTGCTCTCAATCTGTTCTCTGACCAGCCTGTATTTGTACCTGGGATTGCTCTGACTTAGGGGCTGGACCTTTCACTTGGCCTTGTGGAACTTGTTCGCACAGGACCACTCTCCAGGCTGCCCAGGTCCCTCTGGATGGCATCCCCTTCCCTCCAGTGTATCAGCTGCACTACACAGCTCGGTGTTACCATCAAACTTGCTGAGGGTGCAATTATCAGACTCAGCTCAGGTCATCGATGTTAATGGAATAGAGTTTTCACTAGAGAAGGCTGCAGAGCCTCATTGCCAAGAAGAAACCCTGACACAGCCATAACAACAGCAGCTTTCTTCGGGCTGCTTATAACACAGAAGGAAAGCATACTTAGAAACAAAGCACATCCAACCGCATGCTAAGCAGAGTTAAAGTGCTCTGAAGGCTCGGAAATAAACATCCCGAGGCTGGTGATTCACTGGGGGGCAGGACAGTCCCCACCACATTGCTCAGGTGGACAATCATGTCCACTCTGAGCACTGGGAGCAGAAGTAGGCAGGATGAGCTGGCCCAGTCCAAGGGAGGTTTGCTGGTGCAACTGATAATTCACCCCAACAAAGCAGCTTGTCGGGGGAAAGGGGAACTCTGTGGCCTTCAGTGTTTCACTTCACCCCTCTGTGGAAGGCTTCAGCATCAGCAGCATCCCTCACAAAGTGATGCTCGCACCAACAATTTGCTCATTGGCTCCGGGGGCAGCCAATGAGAATGGCAGCTCCATGGCAACAGGCTCTGTCACTAGGCGCAACCGGATGAGTTTGGGGGTGATTTAGAGTCTTCCCCCCTCCCCGTTCCCCTTCCTGAGCACAGCGTCTGCTGTAGGAAAAGGGTTTCACAGGAAGAAGTGGAGGCGGCTGCAAATTCAAGGCATCAAAGGCTCCTCGGTCCTCCTGCGCCAGGCAGCACAGCGCTCCCTGCCTGCACAGAGCCTTTTGTCCTCCTCTCTTCTGCCAGGGCACCGCAGCCGAGAGGATTTTTGCTGTATTAAAGCACATGTACCAGATGTAAGAGGAGGCTGCGATTCAAGGCTGTGCTTGTACAGCCAATGAAGGCCACCACACATCCTGAAACGTTTCCCCCCGTCTGGGGTCCAGTCTGCTCTGCAGAATGGATGCTGCCTGCACAGACACTGCTGACAGGGGCATCCCACAACAGGTCTGCAGCCTCGGCTTGAAAGCAAACAGGTAAAGAGCCTTTTGAGCACACTCTGCTTCATCAAATCCCAGACTGGTTTGGGTTGGAAGGGACCTTAAAGCTCCTCCAGCTCCAACCCCTGCCACGGGCAGGGACACTTTCCACTAGAGCAGGTTGCTCCAAGCCCCTGTGTCCAACCTGGCCTTGAACACTGCCAGGGATGGGGCAGCCACAGCTTCTCTGGGCACCCTGTGCCAGCGCCTCAGCACCCTCCCTGGGCAGAGCTTCTGCCTCAGCGCTCATCTCAATCTCCCCTCTGGCAGGTTAAAGCCATCTCCCCTTGTCCTGTCCCTCCATGCCTTGTCCAAAGCCCCTCTCCAGGTTTCTTGTAGCCCCTTTAGGCACTGGAATCTGCTCTAATGTCTCCCCAGAGCCTTCTCTTCTCCAGGCTGAACAAGCCCAGCTCTCTCAGCCTGGCTCCAGAGCAGAAGTTCTCCTGTTGGGGAACACAGCACCCTATCAGGGGCAACAGTTTGACCTAGAACCAGCAGCTGGGGCAGTGAGAGAGCCCTGACACCATACCCGGGCAGACTCATAAGCTGCAACTATCTCAGCAATGAACCAACCTGTCTTGAATTCTCTCCATTTGTTATTACCAGTTGAAGAGAGGAATTTAATTCCTCACTCCCATACATCCAGTTCCTACAAAACCTAGCAAAAAATCCCCAAAGAAACCCGAAACCCAAACAAATCCAACCCAAAACCCAGGAGGCCAGTTGTATTTGACTGCACAGTGCATAGGCTCCCAGTGCTTAGTCACTGCCTTAAATCTTAATCTCCACCCCCACATTACATCAGAGGTGAAATGATGATGCAGATGGAAAGGTTCGACTTCAGGTAGCAATAACCTTATAGGAACAAGGAGACAGGAAATGCAAGTGAGATGAAAAGCCCTCAAGGTCAATTCTGGAGCATATCAGGAGGTCTCCAGCATATCCCTCCCAAGTAACTCCAAAGAGGGATAAGATGACACCAATTAAATTGCCTCTGCACATAGGAACCAGAGCCTGGAGAGAGGCGTAATCTTGGAGCACTTCTTCATTCTAAATACCTTTAAAAAGGCTGTTCACCAGTACAAGAGCATCTGAATTATCACAACACTCAAAGCAGAAC